CAGTGAGCAACGCTGTTCCGCTTGGCGGAAGCTGCAAACCGAAGCCATCGTTGTCCCTACTTGCAGAGATTGCGGTCGTGTCCTTCGGACTTTACGACGCACTCAGCTGCTGGCGCTATATGGCGTCGCCTGCCTCTCACCCTGACAGCAAGGGCGGGCAACGCGCGGAATCGAGTCCCGTACCTCTGGTTTCCCGGACGCGCAGTGGTTAACGCAGGCTACACTATCGGCACCCAGCGCCGCAAGTTCAAACCCTTTGATGCTATATGTTTCATCAGTTAATTCTGCTAAAAAAATGGAAGTTTTCAATCAAACATGGGATGGCCTTTTGCGTTTGTCTTTTTATAGCTCATTTCGACCCTCTCCATTCAACACTAATCATACTACTCGTTTCCTTCCTGGAAACGGGTCCCTTTCAGCTGTACATTACAGGACACATTATTGTTGTCGGTCAAGGGCTGAAGGGCCATTCTGTCTCACCGCCGTGTGTTTTCCGGCCGTCATTCTGGCAATGCGAGGTGGGATCCCTTATTGAACCGGAGGCCCCTAGAGGGATAGATACATCGTATCACATTGGTCCGCTCCCTGACGCGGGAGACCTTCTGACCCGCGCAGCTGACCCTGGATCTATGTAGGAACTCTCATTGATGCAACAGCATTCCTGATCGCTGCATGTGGTCAAATAATTCCCACATAGACTCCAGTTCGGCGTAATGAGCCCGTGCTGGGCCCGCCGTTTAGTACTGGAGGCCCTCACAGACACAGGGCTCTTTCATTGCCTGAATGGGAGCAGTCATCATAAGTTGACATGCTTGCTTTCATTGCCAGGGGGCCCTAACCAGCGTAAGAGGCTTCTGTCATTCGGGCTCCCGTGTCCGTCCCCGTTGAACAAATATTCCCCTGACCGATTCGAGGCCCCATGTTGACACAAAATGCCATGTTAGGCACTGTGGGCCCCTTAACGATACAGGAGCCTGACCGATGTAAATCACGAGCCTGGCCTTGTTCCTACTTGGAAAACTGACCCCAGATATCAGACCACACGGAGCCGATTGTTCGTTGTTGGTGACCTCTGGCCTAAATAGAGGATCGCTTTGTCTCAGGCGAGCCTGTTGGGGCAAGAGATTCTCTTGCTGACATTTGAGATCCCGGCCCCAAGGGCGGGAGTCTTTAATGTAATCTACAATCATCACTTCCCACCCCTCAGTCTTCCAATCGGGCCCTTGGTCTTTGGTCTCGAGACCACTCGGTCCCTCTTCGGGTCTCCTTAAACAGCGTTCCGGCTTGAGGCCACTTGCTGCCGCAGGACCTCCGGTAGGCGCCGTGGCGCCTCATCGACACAGGAGCCCCCCGTTGTGTTAGGGACTCCGAACATCGCTAATTGCGGGCCCCGGCCTCGTTCCTGTTTGGGGAATGGGTTTTTCAAGGGCTCATATGGGCATAGAGCCGACCGTTCGCTGTTCGTGGTCTCTATCCGACTTAGACATACGCATTGTCTAAGGGGTTCCTCAAACCATAGGGGCCCATAGGACCCATAGGTGCCACGGCCAACTGTGACGGTCGGTGCATCATCACGGCCAACTGTGACGGTCGGTGCGTCATCACGGCCAACTGTGACGGTCGGTGCATCATCACGGCCAACTGTGACGGCCGGTGCATTGCTACCCCTGGGACTGTCTGAGACGATATGGCACTAGCGTTGTTTTCATCGCAAATGGCTTTGGCTTTCCGCATCTTAAGGCGGCAAATGTGTTGGAAATAATTCTTATTATTAACAATGCATCACTCAGTTCGGCGGCAATGACGTGCTGAATAGGGCCGTCAGACTCATTACCAAAAACAACAACGAAAACAACAACGTCGGTGTGAGCAAACCTCAGGCAAAGCTTCTCAGATTCTGAAGACGCAGGTATGCTTCCATGCGGAAATGGACATCAACTATGGAGGACATCGGAGTATCTCAGATACCAGTTTGTTTCCATACGGATATCGCCGAGTGGGCCGCTCCCGCAGCTGCGGAGACGAAGACGTCGTCTGAGGCCTACGCACGGGAACCGGCGCCGGCGCGCGCTTTCGGAACATCAAATGTCCTCCCGATTGAGATGCATCTCAACATCAACCTGCATTGGAAAATGTCAAGATGTAACCCTTCACAAACGTTCACGTTTCACCGCTATAGATCTCCTACATTTCGACCGAAAATGCTTCCAACTCCAGCAGTCCCCAAGCTGTGTCGCATGATCACTGTTTGCAAGACAAATGACATTTTGACGCCAACTAACTGAAGTGGCCGATGATGACTTCTATGGTTTACATTCATTGCGAACCACTATCCTATATCGACCGATGGATAACGATTAGTTTGCTTAGACACCCTTGTGCAATGTTTACAGCATTAACAGCCCCAATTAATATGCAAGGCTTAGCCCGTCGCTGCCTGCCGTATGGTTCCCTGAGGCTGCCCTGGACCAATTGGTTGTCTGTGTGGCGAGTTTCGATGCTCGCCGCCTGGCCTCTGGCGCCTACATAGCTGACGGTGCTGCGCGCTGAATTCCAATGACACATGACATTGGCTGGCGGCCGCTATATAAGACGCCACGTGCGAAGAGGCGGACATCCTTCCATTGGGCTCCACTCAGCTGACACCATGCAGTCTCTGGTAAGTCAGCTGGAACGAACAACGGGAAACAACTCTAGGCTAAGGATGCGTTTTATTGCTTGTTGGCAAATGCCGTTATATAGTGGGAAGTTCTAAAAAGATCGGATAATGTGGCTTTTCAGACGCTGTATAGCCCATATTTCTGTTCTTGAAGTGGCCAAGTCTACCTTTAGATGACCATACATAACTGAAGTGAGCTCGAGAACTAGCGCTTGGTGTGTGCCACTTGAGTAACTTATTCATTGCAATGTGTGTTGCTCAATGAACAGGACTACGCACGAAAAAATAGGTGTGAAATTTCACACCTATTTTCAAGACACTACCGTTCCTTTACTCCCCTACTCCTTCCATGTTTGTATCATCGACTGTGAGGCACAAGGTACCCGGAAGTCTGCTGAAGGTCTCCAGGAACAGTAAGGTTGTGTTTTATAGAAACCACACCTCCTCCCTTTCAATCAAATGCATGGCTTTCCACTCCTGCTGCCTGGTGACCGCGCTCACTGTCACCTCCGGTCCGCAGGTCACCTTCGCCGTGCTGATCGCCGCTTGCGCGGCCCAGGTGCAGTACCCGGCCGGCGTATCGCCCGCCGCCTGCCCCAACTACCCGTACTGCGGCGACGACGCCAACACGCTGGCCGCCCTCAACCTGGCCCGCCTGGCGCCGTCTGGCGCGCCGCTGGCCCGCGAGTACCCGGCCGGTCTGGCGCCGGCCGCCTGCCCCAACTTCCCCTACTGCAACAACGCCGTGCTGCCCCAGTACACGGGCCAATACCCGGCCGGCGTCAGTGCTGCCGCCTGCCCCGGCTACCCGTACTGCTAGTGCTGAACACGCCCGCTGCGCACCGCTGCAGAAGTGGTAGGCTGGAGCGGCCGCCGGCCCGTTGGAGGTGAATGGAGGAGCTGTGAACACTTGCCAGTTGGTGAGACTGGAGCTGTGTACACTGGTCAGTCGCTGAGTGCTGACTGAAGCTGCGTGCACTGGCTAGTCCGCCAGAGCCCTTTGGAGGAAGGCGAGGCGATCGAGTCTCGTCACCGCGTTTTGTCCACCGCCGGACAGCCGAACGCCGCCATCTTTCTTGTCACGATGTTTCACCAATGTTTGGCAGCGATTAACTGTGCTGAGTGATGTTCGGACGCCTTGGATATGATGGATGGTGTTTATTTTTCTACAGACGTACAATACAGTCGTGAAAATGCTCTGTGCCTTTGGATTAGTGCCAGCGGCTGATGTACCTGACGTACCAACCAGCTTCATAAACTCAGGGGTGACGCTTGGGTCAAAGCCTTCATTCTTGTGAATTGGAACGCTGAGGAGAAACTTGCCATCACGGTTAGGTGCATCTTGCAGAGCCATTGGTGGCAGTTGGGTGTCACGGACACGTGCGTAAAAGCGCGTTACATACGCCGACTAACGGCAGCGGCATGGCTCCGTGACGTGACAAGCTCGGAGCTGGCGTCAGGCCATCTCCCATATGACAGTAGCGGCGGTGGGCTTAAATTAGCCTGTGGCCTAGTTCGATGTCCGATATGCCTCTATGCCCGACATTAAGTCTATATAAATATCTGATATTCAGTCGCCCACTCTTGAGCAGCAGACACCTGCGTACGCATGCGATTTATAGACACGTGACCTGGCCAAGTCGTTACAGTCGTCCCAATGACCGCAGTTTGGTTGTCGTTGTTGTTTCATTTACCGCATCTGCTCCTTGGTCAGTGGCTACTCGGCGTGTTTATTCTCAGACTGGCTGACTGCAGTCTGGCCTACGACCCTCAGACTGGCTGGCTGCAGCCAGGCTACGACCCTCAGACGAGCTGACTGCAATCTGGCCTACGACCCTCAGACTGGTTGGCTGCAGTCTGGCTTACGACCTTCAGACTGGCCGACTGCAGTCCGGCCTACGACCCTCAGATTGGCTGACTGCAGTCCGGCCTACGACCCTCAGACTGGCTGACTGCAGTCTGGCCTACACCCCGAGAACCTCCCATTACACGTGTAGACACGTCGAGAGCCACCGGCCGTGAGGTTATGGCTCCCCCAACTCGCCTTGTACGGGTAGCTGAATGCCTTGCAATGTCATCGGCTAGTTTGGCGTGTTCCTCCGTCCTTAAGAAGGAGGAACCGACGAACCGGAGGAGGACCGATGTACAGGAGGAGGACCGACTGAACAGGAGGATCGACCAAGCTAAAGCCCGAACAATTCGGAGCTGTTCCGTGTAGGTGTTTTGCTGAGCGCTGGCATGTTCCATATCCAGGCAGGATGTTCATGGAAAGCGTAACAGAATCGCCTGTGTGACAGTGGAATGAAATGCAGTGGTCTGCTAAAGACGGGAAAAAGACCAGTTCTGATATTGCACGTATATATGTACACCGTACAACACACGCATATATGAAACGGAGCAATGTTGATGATTCGCGGTGGTCACGAGACCGCTGACCACCGCCTACGTTACGACATTCAAGAAGTCAGACATACAACTCAGGCAGCTGACAAGAAGCACAAGTAGAGTGACTAGATTATAACTGACATAGTATGGCACATGTTCCGTTTCCTGTATGTCCGTGCGAGAGTGCCTCTCAGGCACAGCTCGTTGATTGAGTATGATATGTTTGCACCAGTCCTGACTGATCTGGCGGCGAGCTCCTGCCAAAATATCTAATAATATCGCGTTCAAGCCATGCGGCACCACGTGCCGGCACGGTCCAATGGTAGTGACAAACAGTAAACGAACATCACAAAATATCGACGACCGAAATGTGGTACTGAAGGCTGACGGAAGCCAGAGAACGCCAACGGCTGTCTTGTCACGTATTCATCAGCACATCGTAGCGAATTAATATCACTGACAAGAAATAGGAAACATACTAAAGCTCAAAATCCGCCGCCCACTTCCGCCGCGCCGTCCGCCATTCTCCTTCCACGCATGCTGCACACCTGTGTCCCGTCGCAGTCCCCGGCGGTGTTTTGGTGTAGTGTCAATAGTTCATATTACCACACATAGATGTCTCTAGTATCATTTTGACGTCAGCGATGCATATGGCTGTCCGCCGCCGGCAGCAGACAGTGCAAATGCGTTCATGGTAGCGAACGGCGATGACATGATTCCTCCCATGCCTGAAAAGACCATAATTCAGTCAGTCAGACATATACCAAGTATCAAAGTTCACGTAACGGTGCTGAGCAAGACAGATTTTTGGTATTCTTTCACATTTGCAGTGCTGAGGATGAAATGAAACGAAAACCAAACGAACACCCAGGAGACGCCCCATTGCCTGATCAGACACCGAAACTGCGAACCAAACTATTGAACATTGAATCTAAGCAGTTCGAACAGAACAGCGAGCACTTCTCGCAGACTCGGGAGAGCCAGTTGGGTAGACACCTTAGTGCCAAACGGTATGTATTTAGCCTTCCTAAGAACCAATCAACATGTAGACACAGACTTTTTCATGTAAAACCGTGGCATGCACCGCGACTTCCACCGCCGAAGAAATCCCTGCTCACACAACGCCTCCCGCCTTGACCATCCCTTGCCGCCCCGCACGTACCCATGTTTGAGAACTGCGCCGCTGCCGAGCCGTAGCCGTTCATGTAGGAGGCGTGCGAGTTGGCGTTGGGCGTCGGCGTGCTCGAGTATCCGCGGGGCGAAGCGCTGCTGCTCTGACCTCGGCCGTACTCGTCTGCGAACCCACCACCTGTTGTCAGTCAGTCCGGAGCGTAGCCGAGAAGGGGCGGCGGGAAGGCCGGACCGGCTGACTCGGCGGTCCGGCTCCCAGCAGCTTGTCTGGCAACACTGACGGGTTGCGCGGGTAATTGCGGCGATACAACCCTATGCGGTGGTTTTAAAGAGGCAAAAACATATTTTTGAGATATTTCGCCCGGTAACCACCGTACGTTGGCGGGTCTATCCCCTCGCCACTGTTCGTCGGCGACCTTCTAATCACTGTCCGTTCACGGTTTTACCTTCTTATCCCCCATTTGGCAGGCTCTCCTTCTGATCGTCGTCTATTGCCGAGCTCGCTTCTGACCACTTTCCGTTGGCGGGCTCACTTTCTGACCGCTGTCCGTTGGCGGGCTCACCTTCTGACCGCTGCCTGTTGGCGAGCTCACCTTCTGACCACTGTCTGTTGGCGAGTTTACCTTCTGACCACTGTCCGTTGGCGAGCTCACCTTATGACCGCTGTCCATTGGCGAGCTCACCTTCCGACCACTGTCTGTTGGCGAGTTTACTTTCTGACCACTGTCTGTTGGCGAGTTCACCTTCTGACAACTGTCCACCGGCGAGCTCACCTTCTGACCACTGTCCGTTGGCGAATTTACCTTCTGGCCACTGTCTGTTGGCGAGTTCACCTTCTGACGACAGTCCACCGGCGAGCTCACCTTCTGACCACTGTCCGTTGGCGGCGTCCGCCTGCACGCTGACAGCCAGCTGGCCGGCGTACGTGTTGAAGCCGGACATGGGAGACGCCTGGTTCATGGCTGGCGAGCGGGGAGCCGGCAGCGATAGCTGGTTGTTCCGCGGCATGCTGGAACGGCGCACACGGGCTGTTATCCCTCGGTCGTAGCCGCAGGGAGGGCCCAGCGCCCAAACCGTCGATGCTAACACGGAAGTATTTTACGGACTGCAGTTGATCGCTGCACGCGTCTCACTGCCGGCGGGCCAGCGAGTGACATGTCACAACTGACAGGCTGGTCACGTGAGCCAGAAGGAGAGCAGGTCAGCGGACGACATCCTGACAAAGTCATAGTTCGTAGCGAAAACCGTACGGCGCAAGGACATTCCCAGTGCCGTTCCTCCGTCAGAACGCACCTCTTCAGGAGGGCTGTGCCGGTCAACTGAGACTAGCGCATGCCCCTCCCGCGCTGCGCCGGTCAGCGTCGCCGCGCGAGGACCGCTGCTCACCTGTAGAGCGCCTCGGCCAGGTCGGCGGCTCGCTTTAGGATGATCTCCTTGGGGAGCCGCTCCGGGTCGCCCGGGTGGCGCGGTACCAGCTTCTGCAGCCGCTGGAAGCCGTAGTCGATGGTCGGCTCCGTCAGCGCTGCCGGGCGCACGGGCGTTGTCAGAGCCGGGGGGAGGTAGAGCAAAGTGTGTCAGAGTCGGGGAGGCAGAGCGAGGCGTGTCAGAGCCGGGGTTGTACAGTGAGGTGTGACGGAGCCGGGGGAAGCGAAGCGAGGCGTGTCAGAGCCGGGGCCGGGCGGGGGGAGGGTGGTCGGAGCGATGCGTATCAGAGGCCAAGCCGGAGGGGAGGGTCAGAGACGGGCCGCAGGAGGGTTCGGAGCGGGGCACGTCGCGATGCGACCGACCCACTCACGGTGACACTGCTTACTGGATCTTTTTATGCTGTTTCGGTATGCGTGCAATATATTAGATGCAAACCCTTTGGTAAGCCGAAATATACTATCGCGAATGTGACCAGCAAATGGAGGTCCGCATGGAGATAAGCGCAAATCGCACCATCATGTTCCGGCAGTTGTATTGGGCGCAAGCACGGTCTCAAGGCTTGACGCATAATTTATGCTGCTGCTGCTAGTCGTAGCCCGGAACGAACAGACTGTAGGGATGCCGACACTTACATGCGAACCCAGCACACTGCACGGAGTCTGATGCTTGGTTCCTTCGTGTCGTGCCCCAGCATATCCCAAACGTGAGTTGCCAGCAACAGCGACGAGTCCCCCCATCTCCTCCCTGTCCCTGGTCCTAGTCCCAGCCCGTGGGCTCCGTGGCGGCTGACGCTTCACTCACAGACGTAGACGAAGCGGCCGGGCGCGCCGCGGCAGAACTGTTTTGATTTGTAGCTGAGCGTGACCTCGACGACTCCAGGGATGTGACGCGGAGGCGTCTGCACCCGGATGGCGTGCGACGTGATGAGCTGGCGGGCACAGGCGCAGGTCACACACGTACGGGTTACACGCACAGGTCTGTCAGGTCAGCAGGCTACTTAGGTCAGGTTTCTGGGATTTATGTTAAGGATGTTATCATTGCATTGATGCCAAGCGAACGATCATACAACATAGCTGTAGCAGTTTTTAAATGGACGAAAAAACAGTTCCTCAGAATTTGCGATGGCAAAATTGTAATACACCTACCAAATGAAAAGAGGAGTACTTAGTGATGATAAATTACAGTCCACGAAGCCGATTCGATCTTAGATTTAGGAAATGGTGTGTTAAGCCAACGGTCGTTGTGGGAGAAAAGGAGCGCCACCATTCTGGGCCCTACATACCTCGCTCCAGACGAGCATCGTGCCGAAGACAATCTGGAGGCCGTCAAAGAAGTTGTCGCCGATGATGATCACCGTTGAGCCGCCTGTCGTCCAGCCCTCGCTGGGACTGATAGCTTTTATGCACGGCGTCGCCGGCGGAGACAGAAAACCTGAAGTTGTATGTTTTGTCGTTAGATGGCAGCAAAACGAAAGTCGGTCGGACACAGCTGGAGCAGCAGCTAGATCTGGAATGTCTTTGATCGGACGCAGCCAGGCAAAATGGGGCAGATTTCCTCCGGCTTCGCACTGCAACGCGCATCACACATTTTAAAGAAATGTGTTGGCAACACCAAAGAGATTTATCAATTCGGCCAATTTGGGCAAAATGAGCAAATCGTACAATAGCGTATCTGGTAGGCGCACGCAGCTTCAGCATGCCATGTAGGTACCTGCATAAGGTAAATAATCAGTAATGCTCATTCTCCATTACAGTGAAAGGCCGATCGCAAAATGCGCATATAATTATAAGCTACGATAGAGTCCAAGGTCGCTCGTGAACAGGAGATCGATACGCCTGGACGTACCACGAGGCAACATTCCTGAGCTTGTCTGCTTCAACCTTTACTAGCAAATGTGAGATCCATTGATAAATATGAAGTGGTAGCATTGTGAAGCAAGCATCAAAGCTCACACGCACAATTTCTGTAAGGTGCATAATATACAGACGACAGCGGCAAAGAAGGTCACCGGCCAGTGCCTGAGACCGACTGTTCGCTGTGGCACGGGTATTTTGGGAGTGTCCCACATGTAGGGTGGCCTGGGGCTCATCCGCAGTGGTTGGTTTATAAACAAAAATTGACAAATTTTGGCTGCCCACACACTTCCCAAGCATATCGTTGAAGCAGGTGATTCCAAAACGGTCAATTAATTGGACTTGACATGATAAAATCTTAAGTCAATGATCACTAGGAACGGATATTCGACATCAATAACTCGTTGAAGTTTCAGGCCAGACCACGGGAGTAAAATGATTGTGCTCTCTGAATCGTATTGCGAGCTGACTCAATGCAGTGACCGGCATGACAAAAATTGATTGTTTTCCCGCTAGCTACGTTCACTCAAGATTTGTGATCTTGGTTACGGCAGGTGCTCAATCTTGACTGCCTTCATTTCTGTGTTATGATAAGGTGTCACTCAAGCTTGCAAAGTTTTTTTAACGTTATGCAATATCGCTGTGAAACCACTTTTTGTTGAATAATAGTCTGTCACAATGATCATTAATGTCAAAGTTATCTATGACACTTGTAGCGTCAAGAGCAGGTGACAAGGCCTGAAGTGGCATGTGACAAGGCCTGAAGTGGCAGGTGTCAAGGCCTGAAGTGGCAGGTGATAAGGCCTGAAGTGGCAAGTGATAAGGCCTGAAGTGGCAGGTGATAAGGCCTGAAGTGGCAGGTGATAAGGCCTGAAGTGGCAGGTGTCAAAGCCTGAAGTGGCAGGTGACAAGGCCTGAAGTGGCAGGTGACAAAGTCTCGGAGACAAAGGTCACAGGTGACAAAGGTGAGGTTTTCACAAAGCTCCTGTACTTGATCGGTTTAGAAAAAGTTCACTAAACCATTGTAAGATGAATGTCGACAAACGGATATGGGCGGTTTATTTCATCAAGCAAGTTAGCTACCGCATTCTTCATCTTATCTATTTCAAAATGCAAACAGAACTGCACCTTCCATTAGCTTCTCTGGCTGCTGTTCCAGGGGAAAGAACAAAAATTAAAGGAAAAAGAAAAAAGTATGTCCCCTTGAAATCAAACTAGTCAAATCCGGTGATGGGGGGCCTTCCCCACCAGGGCGAGCTATGCCAACATTGTGCCTGCCCTAACCAAGGCTTCGGCCGTGTCGTTGAAGACAACCGAGTGTTTTTCATTAAAAGACAGGGACCTAAACCAGGAAATAATTAAACTTCGCACCAAATCTGGAATGCTCACTAATTACGTACGTTGTCCAGTGTATTAGCGAGGAACATTAGCCACATAGATAAGACAGCAGTATTAGCGTTATTCTTCGGAGAAACAGGAGAATAGAGATATAGTACGGTTGATGTTTCGGCAACATGCCTTTCTCGAAACAACGGCCGAAGTGACTGTTCAACAGAAGTAAATTCTGCTATCGCCTCGAGAAAGACATATTGCTGAAATATCAACCTAACTATACCTCTATTCTCCTGTTTTTTTCCGAGGAATAAGACTAATACAACTGTCTTATCTATGCTTACTAACTAGTTTAAACGGAGCCCTAATCGTTCGAATGTCAACTGGCTTATAAAAGACCGGCTATTCCCACTCGGGCGTATTTTTGTTTCACCATATGCCTGTTCGGGATTTTACGTTTGAGGTACTTGATGATAAGATGTCGAATAGCACATGATGACAGACAAAAACCATTCCATAATAAGAGACACCCGCTGTTTCAATAGGACTGTTGTCAAACGAACGGTTTCGCTCCTGTTTACCCCATTTTTGGTGCATGTCAGATTTGGTATTCGATTGCGTCCCTGTCTAATAAATCCGTCGCGAAAGGCCTGCAAGTTCTTTGTGGGATTCTACCAAATATCCCACAACGTTGACCCACGCACATTTGCCCTTCACCCCTCCCTCTCAATCCTCCAACCCCCAACCCCAACCCTATCCCCAACCCAATCCCAGTGATGGATTTAAAAGGAGTGTTCCGCATTTATATAGGGTTTTGAGCTGAAATAGCCATGCTGGAGACCTTCCGGTGCAGCTCACAGCCCCGCTCTTCCTAAGACCTAAACTCTTCTAGTATCTGCACTACACGCCCGCGAAAGTGGTGAGAGTATTTCGGGGCGAATATTTCAGTCCCGTGGCATTCATGACGTCATAATAACATCATTCAAATCTTGTTGTTTCACAAGCCATGCTGCGGTCATGGCCGAGAAAAATATACAAAAGTCGAATTGTTCATATCTGGCGTTCGTGAGTGCGACCTCCAGATATAACGGCTCTCATTTGGCTCCCAATCATTGTTGTGTAAGGTATGATGAGGTAATCAGACAATGACGCACCGAGGCGCATATTTACTAGACATAGAAATTGTGGTATCTTGAGAAGTCTTTTCCACTTAAAAGTATACCAATAGTTATAAGAGAGCTTGTCTCATCACATCAAATGCTTGCCTCAATGTCACCAAGTGTGAAACATTCCCTTAAATCAGCTGCGCTAGCAGGCGGGAGGCGTGGTCGCGCACCCGCTACCCCACTTTCCTCCAACCTTGGTGACCTCAGCACCTTTTGAATGTGTTGCGCGATGTGCTGGGAGCTGTACTCATCAGCCGAGCACCTACTCAGTAACTCCAGCGCCGAGACATGGCCTGGCGCTGGCGCCGAGGGGCCCAGATAGCTCACCTCCGACTTCCTATACGTGACCGCTAAGACGCACTCGAGACTGCGAGGCTGCATTCCTGTCAAGCCTACCAGCCCTAGCGTCCAGCGGCGGCGCCGGCATGCGGCCGTCATCGCGGCTGTGACGTACAAAGCCCTCTGCAATCTTCTTTTACGATTCGTCGCCGGCACCCAAGCCTGTTTACCAGGAAGCCAATGGAGACAATGGGTGCGCCCTCCTGGGATCGGCCAGCCAATCAGAACGCTCCCCAGAGAGTGACGCATCAGCGAGGGGCGACGTTCGCGGCGGCCGACGCCACTGGCGCCCTCTTCAGACGCGGCGACGCGGCGCGCCGGATTGGCACTGGACCCCGGCTGAGCGGTCGCTGCGCTGCCGGTTGGTGGAGCCTATATGCTGCACCGGAGACGACCGGAACACTAATGCCGCTGGGTGACTATGTTGGAGGCAATGTGTTCCGCAGATAAAAAAAAACTTCACGAAAGCATTACTGTGGTGACAATTGGCAAGGTATGATTTGATTCGTGACGAATGCGGGGCCTTTGATGACTGAGATGCTGACCGGCCTTTGCTCGTTTTCGTCTGTTTTCTTTCGTGAGGATCAACAGCATACAGAGGCGTTCGCTACGCGTTTTCCGATCATGAAATTCCCGGGCTTCGCAGTAGCCGCTTTGAAACTCAGGTCACTCGCTTGGTTGGCCACTCGGGCGTCTCAAGCGATGGTGAGTGTGTACATGATCCGCGAAGTGAGACATACGCATTTGCATCGGCAAGAACGAGTGAAATGAAAGGTTTAGACGCCAAAAACATATTACCAATCACGGAACACAGTTCTGGATGCACCTCCCCCAACCCCTGCAAAAATAAAACATTTAACGTCCATTTTCTGCAAGGCATCCTGTTTGTTAGCTGTTGGTGAACAGTTCGCGTTCATTTGAGTCCGTTCGCGACCTCAGCCATCGGCCGGCCAGCTGTTCACGAACAAGCTTGCGGGTGATTGTGTGTTCTCACCGGACAGAGGACAATCTTATTCAATGGATTGAAGTGCGGTTCTCAGCATCAGCCGAAGGTAGAAATTCAGTTCAGCCATGAATCGTTCTGCAGAGGAACCGCAATAACCGCAATAACCTGAACCGCAATAATTCATGCATCCCTCCTAGTTTCTTGAAATGTAATATTATTGAAAAATGTGTTCCTCTCCGGTTTGTTTCTGACCCCAAGAACTGAGGCATCTCCGTCTGATACGCGCCGTGACATTTTTCTTGACGTTTTTTTTTTCTCTCATGCGAAGACTGCTTCGACCTAGATCCTAAGGGATGCGAGCGTCATATGGCCGTGCTCCCATTTATAAAGGAATTTTGGCGCCTGGCGTTGAAACAGGGCCAGTTTAACAAAAATGTGTAGAAGTAGCAATATTTTATTTGTATTTCATACGCAAACTCCACTTCGTTTCAGAAGTACAGCTTTTTGCATTATATTAAAGAAAGGACCAAATTTTGGGCAACTTCAGTCGTCACGCGTCTTTTAATGAAAAGGTGACCGCAGTGGGGCTGCCCTCGTCATATAAGTATGATATGGAACACGGCTTTGATGCTTTGGCAAACTGACCGCCGGCAGTTGTGTGCTTTCTACTCCGGTGTGGTGTCTCGACCAGCATTACTCTACACGGCAGTGGCCGCTATAACCTGTAGACCATCTGCTTGGATATTTGAAGACTTTCCCGAACCAAAGGTTCGAGCAAGTCTTCAAATACCTGCGTTGGACGCTTTGATTATTTGAGATCGCTCTAAATTTGCCGCATAATTTAAAGTATGCGTTCATAACTCGCCGTTATCGAAATCTGCCCAAGAAGTGCCTTTTGACCAGTGGCTCAGCCAAAATTTCCCTACGTTGGGGGGGGGGGGCGCTGGGGGCGGGGGCGGAATTCGGTGAGAGCGCACCCCGTCGGTTTTCAGCTTTTTGTCAGGGGTCATATATGGGGAAAAAAACGTTGGTAAAAGGGGCGCCCCCCCCCCCCCTTCCGTTGACTTAGCCCTCACTGTCAATTCATTGTTCATTGTGTGCCCTGTTGGACAGCAAAATTACCTTTTGTAAATGCACCATGCATCTTAGGTCCTCCCATTAAGTTTGTTGAGTGAATAAGCAAGTTGGTGCTCCAGTCATCGGCATCGTATTCTCGGCCAATCTCTCAAAAATAATGTCCGAAAATATGCGAATGCAGCGACTGGTAATAAAGAAGAATTCCAATGCGGACTGAATCGCACACACTACCTTGAGTTGAGATTTAATTTGAGCCTAATGCTCAGTTAAACTAAATTTGTAATTCTCGTGCAATCTTTAAAGGCTGGCAGTGCAGATTTTTACAGTCTTCAATATCATTAATTTCATCGATCTCTTCTGGCTTTTAGGGCGCGGATCAAAAGCAAAATATCAAATATGAAATAAAACTCCATGGCATGATAGATGCATGGCATGAGCCGTACCTATGCTGTGCTTCCCAGTAAGCTCAGCGCTCGTGTTGCATTCGTGCAGCAATGAGTGATACTTGATGTCTTAGCAACAAGCTGGATGCATCACACTCATTATTCACGAATACCGGATGAATTCTGCACAGCTTGAATGTCTCCTAACATACTCTAACTTTCAGTGTATGCAGAGGCCGCTCATAGGAGAGCAGCAGAACGAAAGGATCGCATTTCCCGCTACGCTCTTTTGTTCCGTCATCTTCGTCTTCCCCACCCGGTGATGGGTGTGGGCGGATGCAGCATCTGGCAGGAGGGGCGCCATGAGATCCCGTGATGTCTCAGCTGTCGCTCCTCTCGTGGCCGCCAAATGGGATAACAAATCACCGACACGGCGGCACCGCACTTTTGTGGGCCGTAAATACTTTTTGTGGACGCGCATCTTAGCAGTGTATCGATACTCTCATCCGTGCGCCTGCGCCAGGCCAAGTGTCGCCGGGGCTCTCCAACACATAGCGGTAAAACGGACGGACATGGGCTCCAGCCCCTGCTTTGCTACCGGCGTCGGCCAGCGGGGACCGGTGACGTCAGGGGCGCCGGCCAGCGGGGACCGGTGACGTCAGAGGCGCCGGCCAACGGGGACCGTTGATGTCAGAGGCGCCGGCCAGCAGGGACCGGGGACGTCAGAGGCGTCGGCCAGCGGACCGGTGACGTCAGAGGTGCCGGCCAGCGGGGACCGGTGACGTCAGAGGCGCCGGCCAACGGGGACCGGTGATGTCAGAGGCGCCGGCCAGCGGGGACCGGTGACGTCAGAGGCGCCGGCCAACGGGGACCGGTGATGTCAGAGGCGCCGGCCAGCGGGGACCGGTGACGTCAGAGGCGCCGGCCAGCGGGGATTGGTGACGTCGGGGGCGCCGGCCAGCGGGGACTAGCGTCAGAGGCGCCGGCCAGCGGGAACCGGTGACGTCAGAGGCGCCGGTCACTCACCGTCGGTGGGGTCGAGTCGCTTGGCCCTGCGACCGTGCTTGCTGTTGTTGTGCACGAACATGTTGTCGGAGACGGCTAGCAGGGGGCCGGACACGTCTACCGTCGGCCCGATCACCACCTGGCGAGGTGCAGGGGCAGCTGGGTCACCAGGTCACCGCCAGCGGTGCAGCAGCAGGTCATGGGCAGCGGGGTGGCATCAAGGTACAGGCGGTGGTGAAGCACCAAGTCACGAGCAGTGGTGCGGTACCAAGGCACAGACGGTGGTGTGGCATCAAGTTATGGGCGGCGGTGCATCGCTGCATGAGTGCAGCTCACAGTTCAGTTGTTGTCCCTCTCTTCTCCACCGCCACATCTCACCATAACGTTTCTGAATTATCATGAAGGGCCTGATGAACGTTATGGTATAATATTGACTTACACCCCGAATGAAACCTCCAGACGATTTTGCGAAAATTGGTTCTCTGATCATTACAGCAAATGTCACGGAATAGGGGCAGTGTAGGTCCCAAACCTGGGTGCAGTCCGAATTTTCTTAAGTGGGGTGACCTAGCTCAGCTCAGAAGACATCTCGTTGGTTTGTTAATTTTCTGTCAGGGGCCATCGCGGTGAACATGAAAGACACGCTTTTAGGGGAGGGGGGCGCACTCTTCCCCACTCCCTCCCCTGGTAACGCCAGTGTCCTACACAGCACGGACAGTGGAGCGTTGCCATTCGTTAAGCTCTGGCGGTAGGGCTCCACCGTATCCCGCATCGCCGGCGTTGGCCTTTCATCACAAACAACGCACACGAGAAGCTCCATACCACTCGCCCGTACACAGCCAACGCTACACCACCAGCCACAGCGTATGGTACATCACCATATCACGTGGCCGGACGCCCACCATGTCCCATCCATACGTCTGTCATCGCGGGCAGTGGTGCATCGTGGGCTGGTCAGACGCAGACGGAGCCCCGCCAGCCCACATTTGGTGGCGGCAGCCGTCAGTGACGTCATCGCCCGGGGACCGCGGGGACAAGATAAGAGCACCACTGACAGACACCCTCGCCGGGCCAGCGGAAACGCTACAAGCTGTTCAAGAATCCCCGGCTTTGTTTGAACAACATTAAGTTTTTCACCGCAAGGAAATGAGAGCTGGAAATGCGATACGCCAGCCGTCATCGGGTGCACGGGCGTTTGTTTTAGTTCGGGACGCAGCAAGTATTTGACAGCATTGCTAACTGCTCATCATTTTGTCATGTTTAATTTCCCGTTTGAAGTGTTTATTTACGGCAGATGTCGCTCGGTATAAACCGGCCCTGCTCGTGCGGCTGGTGTCCCAGCTCAAGCAACCAGACAGTGGAGGATGTGAACTGACTGGACACACTCTTCGACGCCGCCGTGGCTGGGGTTACGTCATCGGAAGCAAACGCCACCGCAGCCAGCTCGCCCGTGACATGCATTCGCTGCAGAGGTGCATAGCACGTGTAATCACAGACGCCAGCCCCCCTCACCCCCAAACAACCGAGTGCAAAACAACGAGCGGGCGATGCAGCTGGGGCCGGATATACTGTCCGTGCAGACCACAGGATGCAAGTTTGATGAGCCGAAAAACCTCGATATTGTGTTCAAACCCGAGCAGTACCCGAGGTACAAACTTAGCTGTCTCAATATCCAGTAACTGTCTTCGATGTCCCCTGCCCCTCCCCATCCCTTTCTGCTCCCTGTTGTTGACCACACACTAAATTATACGCAGACCCGTGTTTATAAAGCGCAGAAGTCTCTAGACCGCAACAGAAGCCGCCTGACCACACTCAAGTCATTCAAGTCACGGTCATCGCCCCTGAAAACACATCTGGCAAGTTAAAACAGCCCCAAACGATTCTGGCATGGGCCCAGCACTCCAGCAAATGAAAAACCGCCTATTGAGACTTGTCACGAAGCCTTACCTGGAACCTCCTCATGTCTCTTGGGTTCCCTGCATTTTTTAGGCAGTTTTGGTTACACTTCAAGAAGAACTTGAGGAAGAACCTGGAACAGAAGACAGGGATCATTGTGAGGGAGGTATGCATGCTTTAGTATCCTGTATGACACACTCGTGGTGCTATGAGCGGCGCATTCTGGTTGATGACGTCCTCACGGCCTGGCAAACCGCGCATGGCTGTTTCTCGGCTCGCATTCAGGAGGCACGGCAGCTAACAAGCAGTGTGCCAGTGGCCCTGACAAAGCAAGCCGCGTTCCAGTGGCAGTGTCGGCAGCTCATCAGCCGGTAACAGTTGGCGAGCTAACCAGGCTGTGTTCGGCTCGGTTTCAGGTGATTGCGAAGTGAATTGGTACGGTATTCGCATAATCGCGTTCGCCGACGGCCACGTGCAGTGGTATGCTGGTTTGTGACGCCGTGATTTCAGCTGTTTTATGCATCATCAAGACCGTGTCTTCGTTGCTTCTGTGGGTTGCCGCATCACCGCCAAAAATCGGCGCTGCAGAGTGTACATTGCGCTATGGACATCTGACCACGACCGCACATTGTCTGTCATGAAGTAATACCGCCGGCACCTTTGCACCCGCCTCCATGGCTCCTGGTCGTGGTCTCTATTTGCCGATACCCAGATCAGTCTCCAAACCCTCCCACTCTCGCTGATCTCAGACTATTTCTCCGGATCCCCGTTCCTGAACGCCGGTCCCTCCCTCCCCGTCGGGGGATCCCCGTCCCTGACTGCCGATCCCGCCGCCCCCTCCGCCGCTAACTTACAACGGGCGCTTCATTCCAAGTTCAAACAGTTTGACGGGCGGCCGGGGCGCCAGCTCATTCTGGCCAAATGATAAAAATGGCCATGTGTCCCGGGCCGGCGGCATCGCTCCCCGGGTGCTCGTCCCATCCAATTGATGGGATCCACTTGGCGCCGGCGGAACACAGCATCAAACGCCAGTCGCCGATTGAAAACTTCTCAAGTAATGGCTGCCGCCGCCGATCGGCCGCCCCCCCCCCCCCCTCGCCAGAGGACAGCCCGGTAAGAGCTCCTTGGTCGTCTGGCGGCCGGCAGACAATGGTGGGCGACTGGAGGCACCGCGTGTTATTCCGGAGAGGTATCCGGATGACTTGCTGGGTAAGGGGTTTAAGGGGTCGCATGGAGCCAGCCGTCAGCAGAGGAAGAGCCATGTTGGAGTTACTTCTGCTCCAGCAGAAGTACGTGCGAGCTGCGCATGTGCTTACTACATCCACTGAGTTTTAACAAACGGACGACGGACGGACGCAGGTTCGATAAACTGCAGGACATAGACAGATTTGTGGACGGACGGACGAGGGAGAAGGACAGACGAACAGACGGAGGTCCGACAAACCGCAGGACATAGATAGATTTGTGGGCGGACGGACAAGGGAGACGGACGGACGGACGGACGGACGGATGAGCGGACGGACGGACGGACGGACGGACGGACGGACGGACGGACGGGCGGGTGGACGGGCGGACGGAAGGACGGGCGGCGGACGGACGGACGGACGGACGGATGGACGGACGGACGGACGGACGGACGGACGGACGGACGGACGGACGGACGGACGGACGGACGGATGAGCGGACGGACGGACGGACGGGCGGGTGGACGGGCGGACGGAAGGACAGGCCGCAGGACGCAGACAGTCCGTCTGCCGGGCGGTCGGACGGCCGGTGACGGGGCGCCGACGGACGCGCGGCCGCGCCGCGGCCCGCCGGCGCGGCCCGACTTTGATAGGCCGGCCGCTGACAGGCGCTGAGAGGCTGACAGTGTCCAGTCTCCGGTCCGACCGCGGCGCACGGGGGTCAGGCGCCGGCGGAGCCGCGCGCCGACGGCGGACGACCCGCCCGCACGCTGAGGTGCCGCGGCGCATGATAGAGTGCGCTCGGTTTTTGTCGGCCCACTCGCGCGCCCGCCTTGTTAGTGAAAGACATAAACAGAGTCGAGTGCGGACGGGTCGGGTTTCCAGCGAAGATGAACGACCGCCACGTGTATGATAGATGACTATCTGTTGCCGCGGACAGTGTCGATCGGGGATGTTAAGGCAACAGCAGCTGGCCGGCGCGCTGTCCAAACACTGCAGCGTGCGCTGTGTGCGCTGGAGTTGGCTGCTGCGGGCTGGATTTGCTGATCTCCATTGGCTTATTTAACCAGCTCAAGAGTTTGCTTCCCGTGCCTGCCTGGGTTCTTTTGAACTTCATTTGCTCGGCCATCGTTCACACGGGCTGGACCGGTATGAGAGCTAATTCAATATTGAATCAATATTGTGAAACCCTTCCGCCCATGATTGGTACCGCACTGGGCCATTCATTTGACAGAGTCTCTCAATTTAATAGTCTATTACATACTCCGAATTAACTTACTGGCCACGCTTCGAGGGCCAAAGGGCTGCTGCAGAAGGGGAAGAGATTTGATGGATAAATTGAATCATCACCAAATCAAATAGTGGGATGTAATTTCCTAATTGCTGTCGGTGCCGCCCGGCCGCTGCCCGCCGGGCGTAGCGGGGGGCGCCGGCCGGCCGGAGAAGGGGCGAGGGGGGAGGGAGGGGTCCGATTAGTCATCGGGTCCGGCGCCGACCGCCGTCTGCGGGGCCGCCGGGCCGACACCGGCCGCCGCCGCCGCTCTCATTATGCCAATAGGCCACACCATCAGTCAGCGGCTAACAACCGGACGTGGCCCGCGCCGGCCGCCGTCATCTGGCCGGCGTTTGGGCGGCGGTGGAGCGCCCCCCCCCCCCCCTCACCCGCCCTCGGCCGTCGATCGCCGCTCCAGACGCCAAACAAACCCGCCCGCCCCCACCGCACCGCCGCCGTGTCGGTCCGGTGGCCGGGAGACGGCCATGTACGCGGCTCGGTATCCTCGGGTGGCCGCAGCTGGACCGGCCGGAGCTGGACCGGCGCGGCTGGACCAGCTGCAGCTGGACCGGCCGGTGCTGGACCGGCCGCAGCTGGACCGGCCGCAGCTGGACCGGCCGTAGCTGGACAGGCGCAGTTGGACCGGCCGGAGCTGGACAGGCGCAGCTGGACCGGCCACAGCTGGACCGGCGCAGCTGGACCGGCGCAGCTGGACCGGCGCGGCTGGACTGACCGGCTGCGTCCGGTCGCGGCACGGCTCCAGCCAGGTTATGGCCAGCGTGATGCAGCGGCGGTCAACGCTCGGCTGCAATGTCGGGGTCAGGCTGCTGTTCAAAAGACGGGCTGCTGTTCATGAGACATGTCTCGAGATTCAAGCCGGGCTTGAAAATTGTTAAGGAATGGGCTCCGTATCCCTCCTTTTACCCTCTAGTACTTTCCAAAATCCCACTCTTGAGAAGTCACAGTCTGATCACAGATAATTGGCCTCAGAGGCACCAATTTTCATCGAGATTATGCTGGATTGAATGGATTCAGGTGTGCAGAATTTAGACCGTGATTAAATCAGTGTGCGGTCGCCTCGCGGGGTTCTCAAATTGCATGAGGTGCGTGGATGTCGAACCACGCACGACTTGCCAGACAACACGCACCTGCCTGACTTGTGCGTCTTTGAATTTCCGCCTTATGTCCCAGTGGTATTTTCTGAGGAGACCAGATCAGCTGGGAGTGCCCACGTGACATTCCACATCGCATTTTCAGACTTAGTTATTGTACCCAGCACGTAACTAACAGCTCCCTGATGGTACTGATCCATATTCGGTTTGTCCGCGTGTTTTGGACCCGCCCGCTCACATCCGAGGATGAATGGGAGAGAGCCAGCGACACAGCATACATGTCTTCCATGACGGGGCCTCCATGACGGGCCACCCACAGACAAGGATGCCATGTAAGTGATTGCGCCCACTAAAAAGGCTATGGAGCCTTATTTTCCCGAGACAATCAGAAAGTTGGCATTTCCAAAAGTAGTTTTCCAACCCATATAAATCACCACCCTCGAAATATTGACACCTTGGCGCCTTGACTTCAGCCGCAACTTGATGGTCAGAAGAACTGTCACAGTGGAAGCACCGCTATTGGGTAGCTGCCACTGTAGGATCCCGGCTTGCGAGACGGAAGATTGAAAATTTGAAGAATTGTTACGGCAAAAAAGATAACGCTGACAAACCAAATAGCATTCTACATGAATGGAAAGGGCTTCCTGCAACTCTTCATTTACTTGCAGGTAGGGGCCTTCTCTAGAGAAGCAATATATTTATTTTTAGGCACAAACAGAAAATACCTAGTTATAGATCAGTTTCCGTTCAGCCACAACAAATTCCGAATGTCGAAAATATTGCTATTTTTGCATTTTACCGTCAGCCTTGACGCTATAGGCCAAAATTATGTCTTAACGACAGCAATACAATGGCTTTCGACCAACGCCGGGCGGGGCTCACACCGAAGTTGTGCAGTTTTGTTTCGGCACCACTAAAACAAAACAAAAAAGACTTAAACAAAAGGAATCGGGGGCAGTAGCTTGGCGTAGCTTGCTCTCAACATATTTGGCAGTAAAAGGTAAGCCCAATGATCTGAGCAAAAAAAGGGTTTTTGTAAGGCCTAATTCATTTAAGGCTACCATAAGCGCGCGCGTGTCCCGGTCTTCACTTTTAAGTTTTTACTTGTCTTTCACATGCTATTGAGACTACTTTGCCTAATGGAACTTCATGCATTTTGCGTGGAAACTCGGGATGTTAACCCACCTTAAGGAACTGTGCCTCTCTTTAAGGAACTCTTGTATGCACGCCTTCCCCAAACGCACTCAAAACTACGTATGCGACCGCCGCGCTGACGGGCCGTGGTCAGAACCCTGAGACCCCCTCCCCCTAACGCGAAAGACTGCAAACAGGTACGCTTCTGTGTCAGGCTGCGAAGCTGTGCCAGAGCTTTCGCTGCCTTACGGTGATTGAGAGTCACTTGTTCTCCTGGGTAGCAGATTGCTCCGACGACATATCATACTAATAGTGGGGTGATGTTGGCACCGCAGCTGTACCAAGGTGTACCAAGCTTGTCAATAGGACGCAACTGCGCAGACAACAGACAACAGTTCGCGCCGCTGCCTGCTGGCCGTCGGGCGCCGCC